GGACCCCTAACGTCTTGCCGCGACCAACAGTTCAAGAGAACGTTCGAAAAGAGAGAGAATGCTCTCTTCTCGAACATGCAGAACCAATGCGAGAATACAGAGAAGGAAGTTCTTTCTCCTCCTCGACCTCTCTTTGCCACGTTCCATCGCCTTTCGAAAATCGTTCGTTATCGTCACTCGTGAAAGTTGCTCGCAGAAAAATTCTATATATATATATATATAGTTATCTAGAAATAATCCTGTCTAGAATTTAAGAGCTTCTATTTCTGCCGTCGCGCGAAATAAAGTCGGAATTTTATCTGTGAAGTTTTATTTTTGGTAGATTTTCGAACTGGAACTGTGGAACGGACTGTGAAACGAAATTTCGACAACTTCCTTCCAACTTTGAAAAAATAAAAGAATTGAAATGTCAAGTATACATGGCCTTGAGATACTGTCAATCCACAAATTCTAAACGTTACTGTCGATGCATGAGGGAGTTCCATTTTCTCTTAAACTTTTCGCTATAGAGGAAGATATTTCAAATGAATTTTTTGGATCAATGGTACTCACTCAGTATTCGAGATATATTTTGAAATATACAGTTCTGTTAAAAACAAAAGAAAAAAATCTCCCTCGAAACAATATAAGTTTCACTTGAAACATTTTCCTCTGTAGCGAATAATAAAAAGTTGAAGAGAAAGATGCTTTAGGAAATTAGGTTGAAAAGACGTGTCTGTAGTAATCCCGCTATCGGGACATATGATTTTATACACGCGCGAAAAACACGTTTTGCAGATGAACGAAAGCAGCTACAAGGTAGTCTCTGCAAGGAAGAAGAAGACAGCCTGAAGAAGAGGAGTCGCGTGCCGGGTCTGTAGCGCTCGGTAAAGAGAGGAAGGGCCCCCCCGAGCATCATCAAAAAGGAGAAGGGGTCGTCATGGGCCCGGCACACCAAATCGTACCCCACTGAGCGATGCAAGTAGTTAGGGCCGGGGCCCTGCTAGTGAGCATGTGGCTCACTAGAGAATGAAGAAGCAAAACGTCCGGACCCTATCGTTGATCGTCTTCACGTTCACCTACCTCCTCGTCGGCGCTGCAATCTTCGACGTTCTCGAGTCCGAGACGGAGAAACGACGCAAGGAAGCATTGGACGGTATATTTCTTGTGTCGATCGATAGATAGACTAACGACCGGCCACTTTCGGAAATTACTTTTACCCCAAAGAGGGTTGACAGGCTCGGTTCTAACTATCGGATCTGTAACAAGTATCGGTGAAAACGTATCAACAACTTGATTCGATTGAAAAGTACAACGCGATAATATACGAGACAGAGAGGAGAGAAGAAAACCGATGAACAAATGTCTTTTCGTTCTTTTGTTGACAGCCATTGAAAAGATGGTTATACGCAAGTATAATATAAGCGAGGACGACTTCAAGATCATGGAAACAGTGGTGCTGAAGACGGAACCTCACAAAGCCGGTCAACAGTGGAAATTCGCCGGAGCGTTATACTACGCGATCACGGTCCTCACCACTATCGGTACGTTTCAGTGTCAACTAAATTCCACCATGCTTCTGTCTAACACATCCGTTCCCCCTAAAATAAAGTCCTATCTATACCATTTAAAATATATATCCATGACTATTAACTTTTTCTACTTACTGATATCAAGTATAGATAGATTATCGGCTCTCCAATCTTTTTTATCTCCAATCACATGGAAAGATCCAATGTTTATTAACGTCAAATGCATTCCTACTTTATTTCACGAAATTGCATTCCCTTTCAAAATATTCGATTATCACGTTTATCGAATCATACTCTCTGTATTCGTCGATTGCCCTTTCAGGTTACGGACATTCGACGCCGAACACCATAAGCGGTAAATTGTTCACGATGTTCTACGCGATCGTCGGTATCCCGTTAGGACTCGTAATGTTCCAGAGCATAGGAGAGCGTCTGAATAAGTTCTCGTCCGTCGTTATACGGAACGTAAAGAAGCTTCTTAACTGTAAGGATGTCCAGGTAAAAAATTACAAACTCCGCTCTGCTCTCGCTTGTACTTTACACCGAACGATCGGCACAGATCGAGCTCCAGCTCGAAAATTTAAACGGTAGAACGATTGACGTTGCACGAAAGAATGAAGAATTCTTCTCTCTCCTTTTTAACTTATTGCACAGCCTTTACACCTACTTGAATTTCCTACAAAATTTCGTAAGAATAATCAGGCTGTAACGAGCATGCATTCGTGATGTATCTGTACACGAGCATCTATGCGCGAAACGTTTCGATACGTTTATCAGAGAGGACGAAGCCAACGGCGAACATTGTGTAATTTCCAGGCCTCAGAAATAAATCTTATCTGCGTGGTGACGACCTTATCTTGCTTAACGATTGCGGGAGGTGCCGCGGCGTTCTCTCGGTACGAAGGATGGTCGTACTTCGACTCCATCTACTACTGTTTCATCACCCTGACGACCATCGGCTTCGGCGACATGGTCGCGCTGCAGAAGGACAACGCGCTGGACAACAAGCCGGAATACGTGTTGTTCGCCCTGATATTCATTTTGTTCGGCTTGGCTATCGTCGCCGCCTCCCTCAATTTATTGGTGCTGAGATTTGTCACTATGAATACGGAGGACGAAAGGCGAGACGAGGCCGAGGCTCTACAGGTAAGGAAACATCGCGCCAGCTTTCATCGTCCATCGAAGTATCGATCTTTTAGAATACACTTTAGACCCCAGGGAAATATCTGCGTCACACCGTTTTTCGATGGTTAATTAATTTCCTTTCTCTTCTTTCTCCCTCCCCCCCCCC